TCCCTTCCCTTCCCTTCCCCATCCATTTTCCATCTTTCTCCTTCCCTCCCCTCCCTTCCCTCCCTTCCCTTCCCTTCCCCATCCATTCTCCATCTTCCTCCTTCCCTTCCCTCCTTTTCTTCCTTCCCTTCCCCCTCCATTTTTCCTTCCCTTCCTCCCCTCCCCCTTTTCCCATTCCAGGTGGCTTGCCACTAACATTGAGATTCTGGGGAACACCATTGTTCTCTTTGCAGCTTTACTCGCCGTGGTATACAAAGCCCATCTCAGTCCCGGCATGGTGGGCTTTTCCATCTCCTGGGCTCTTCAGGTAAGCTCAGAATGTGACGGGTCATGTGATCGCCATTTGCAACCTTTCCAGGTGGCTTCCAACAAGCAGCGTCAATCTGGGGGAGTCAGATTCCTTTAATGACCACATATTTCAATTAACAACCTCAGTGATTTGTTTAACTATGGAAAAAGGATCATAAAATTGGGCTCGATTCATTTAGCAACTGCTTTGCTCAGCAATGGAAAATCCTGTCCCCCATTGGGGTCGTAAGATGAGGACCAGCTGTAAATTCCTCCCCCTTTTTCACTGTCACCCTGATTCTCAATTATTGGAGCTGTGTGTCTTCTACTGCAGGGATCTCCAACCTTGGCATCTTTAAGAGTTGTGGACTTCAACTCCCAGAATTGAAGAATTGTGGACTTCAACGCCAAGAAATCCTCAGCCAGCATGTCTAGATGAGGAATTCTGGGAGTTGAAGTCTACAAGTCAAGGCTGGAGAGCCCCTATTTGGCTTGGAAGGATCGGAGGCTTATCTTTAGCCTGGCAAAATATCTTTATTTGGCTCCACATTCTGTAGCTCCAGTTAAAAGGCCAGGTAGAAGGAAGGCATCTGTGTCCTCTCCAGAAGTTTTGGATTCCATCTCCCATAATCCTTTCCACTGAGAATTCTGGCAGGGCAGGGCCAGATGGGCACCAAAATCCCAAGTTTTTAAAATAGCTGTGCAAGTATAATGCACAACCACCAGGACATCCCTTTTTCAGCAACATAGACGGGGTGATCCAACTGTAGAAGACATTTGTGGACACAGCTGGTCCTTTACTATTGACTTCCTGTTTGGTGCCTTGGTCTGTTTCGTTGGTGATTTAAAGTTGTACAACTCCCTGTTGGAAAGGAGTTGTGAAATAAGGGATGATCCAGCTTTAAAATAAAGTTTGAGGTCAATGGACAGAGGGTATGCAGTGTAGTAGAACTTTAGGCAATGCATTTAACTTCTGGGGCGTGGTAGGATCTTTCAGTGGCCTGGGGTCATAGATTCCCCTTCTTCTTTGCCAGATCACTGGCGTTTTGAATTGGATGGTGCGTGCCTCAGCGGAACTTGATAACCACATCATGTCTGTGGAAAGAGTGAGAGATTATTCACAGACCCCCAAAGAGGTAAGCCTTCCTTCTCTTCAATCACAAAATAGCCCAGCTCACTTCCTTAGTTAACCCCGAATCTCCTGTCTGTCTGTCTACCTATTTACCTGTCTTTCTGTCCGCCCTAAACTAGTAATAAATAACAATAGCACTTAGAATGATATGCCACCTCATAGTGCTTTACAGCCCTCTCTAAGTGGTTTACAGAGTCAGCATATTGCCCCCAACAATATGGGTCTTCCTTTTACCAACCTCAGAAGGATGGAAGGCTGAGTTAACCATGAGCTGGTCAGGATCGAACTGCTGGCAATGGGCAGAGTTTGCCTGCAATACTGCATTCTAACTACTGCATCACCACGGTTCCTTTTTGAATGACATATCACCTTTTGGTGCAGCATGATGCATGAACGACACTAAATGATCTCATTCTACTTTATTGTAAGGCTGCATTAACAGAATCTTGCAAGTCTAAAAATGCCAATCTCACTCTGTCACTTTTAACAGTCCAAAACATTAGATGGATCTTACTTAAGTTTCTTTTTTTGCCCGTTAAGCAGTTATGGTCTCCTATCCCTTTTATCTGATCATTCTCTATGGAATAACTTATATGAGACCTGGCAGCACAGTGGTTAGAATGCAGCATTGCAGGCTACCTCTGCCCACAGTCGAGTTCGATTCTGATAAGCTCGAGGTTGACTCAGCCATCCATCCTTCCAAGAATGGTAAAATGAGGACCCAGATTGTTGGGGGCAAGAGGCTGATTCTGTAAATTGCTTAGAGAGGGCTGCAAAGCTCTGTGAAGCAGTGTATAAGTCTATTGCTATTGGTCTTCCTTCTCCCTCCCTCCCTCCCTCCCTCCCTCCCTCCCTCCCTCCCTTCCTTCCTTCCTCCTTCCCTTCCCTTCCCTTCCCTTCCCTCCCTTCCCTTCCCTTCCCTTCCTTTCCTTTCCTTCTTTCCATGGTGCACAGTGTTAGAATGCAGTATTGCAGGTGAATTCTGCCGACTGCTAGCAGTTCAATCCTGACTGGCTCAAGTTTGGACTCAGCCTTCCATCCTTCCAAGGTGGGTAAAATGAGGACCTGGATTGTTGGGGTCAAGAGGCTGATTCTGTAAACCATTTAGAGAACACGGTAAAGCACTGTGAAGTGGTATATAAGTCTAAGTGTTATTGCTATCTTTTCCATTCATCCCTCAAGGTCATGCATATGACTGGACACTGCCTAGTTGGCAAATCAGAATAATTCCGTTCATGTATCATATCACCTCAAAATGAAAAGGTGATACTATGGTTCATTGCAGTGTAGTATGTATCCCAGTCTTGGAGTTGGAAGCAAGTCTACCATTGACACTCAAGCCAACTCAAAGCCAACCCAAGTAGTTTTAAGTGTTTATTGTTGCACTCAAATCTTGGTGGGGTTTTTTTGGGTAGTTTTGCCTCTTTGAGCTTCTCTTGGGGGTTGCTAATATGAGCTCGCAATGTTGTTGCATCTCTTTCAGGCTCCGTGGAGTTTGGAGAATCATTTCCAAGGTGCCAGTTGGCCCACTGAAGGAGCAATTGAATTCAGAGGCTATAGCTTGCGATACAGGCCAGAATTAAGTCTAGCTCTGAAGAACATCAACCTAAAGATCAAACCACAAGAGAAGGTCAGACATAATAGAACAGCGTTTGTCATCCTGGACAACAAAGAGGTCTTGGCTTTAACTCCCAGAATTCCCCAGACATCATGAAAAATCTCCAGAGGTCTTCAAACTTGGCAATTTTAAGATTTATGGACTTCAACTCCCAGAATTCCTCAGCATGGGGAGGGTTCTGGGAGTTGAAGTCCACCAGACTTAAAGTTACCGAGTTAGGGGACCCCTGATCTAGTCCAAAGTTGTCTCCCTTGCACTAGAAAGTTTGGTCCCTTAAAACATCCAACATGCAGTAGGGATTAAGCTGTTGGATTTGGACCTATGAGATACAGATGGACATCCTTACTGGACCAGTGAATCCACAAGTGTATTTGAACCGGTTTTATTTTATTTTATTAAGCAGAGTTCACGGGATGGTTGTGGTGAGAACATAATAAGGAGAGACTCCTATATATTCGAGAAAGCAGGATAGGGAAGAGTAATTCTCTCTCCTTGTCTCCCTGTCATGCCCCTGTTGGAACCTGATTCTGAGGGGGAGGCTGAGCAGCTGACAGGGAATGGGAATGTGGCTCCATTGGCTGTGGAAGAAGCTGGGGAAGGGCAAAGTCCGGCTGGGCAGAGCAGGGGAGAGAGGTAGAGCAAGGCAGAGGGAATTCGGAGGAAAACCCAGGCTCACCCCCTCTTCATCCTAGGGCACGCAGGGAGGAACAGAGAAGGGAGCAATGTGAGTTGCATGGGTTATGGGGAGGAAAGGGCCCTGATTCCCTTAATTAGCTGCAGCTGGGAACACAGTGTTTAAAAAGGGAGGTTGCGCACAGCAACTTGTCGGAAGAAACTCATGAGTTATCAGGTATTGTCGAGGCTTAGCTGGGTTCCTGGCATCTTCCCAACTGTGTGTGTTTTGCTGGCCTTTCAAGTCTGCAATTCCTTCTCCTGCCCTGTTCAAGTTAATTGCTGCACCGTGGTTTGCATGGATTTTTATTTACAGTTTGTATGTACTTTGTTTTCGGACTGAATTTCCTCCCCTCAAAGACTGTTCTTGGAGGCGTTTTTTTCTCCAGCCGAAGGTAACTTGAACATACTAAAGGGACTCTTCTTACTTATTGGACTGTGTTGCCTTTGCGCCACGCCCCAGGTCATCACATTTCCCATCAGGTGGTCCTTCCTTCTCCAACCTCTGTTTTTTTTCTCTGGTAGGTGGGCATTGTTGGAAGAACAGGGGCTGGGAAATCGTCCCTTGCCATGGGCCTTCTGAGACTTGTGGAAGCTGCTGATGGAGAGATTGTGATCGATGGAATCAACATTGCCCAAATGGGCTTGCACAACCTGAGAAGCAAGATTACAATTGTCCCACAGGTAGGACGTCTTTCACTTATTGTTCTATTCACCCCAATAATGTTGATATCCCGAGCCATATCTTCCACAGACGCCGACGTTTCAATCAGTCTTTCACTATGATATTCAGTTGGGATCCAAGGTCGTTTGCGTTCCATCTCATCAGTTGGGATCCAAGGTCGTCATCTTGTAGGATGTTGTCTGAGTGTCCCATGTCCACTCAAGCTGTCAGGTGCAAGTAACTTGAGTTGAGTTCAAAGCACAAAACATTTATTACATTTACAGGCTATCCATATATAAGAATCTGGTCTATTAATGGTGAAGCCAAATTGGCACTAGATGAGGGTCAACGGAATACATGGGGGGCGGGGGTTGGGTGGATGTGGATCAGTGGTGGGATTCAAATAATTTAACAACCAGTTCTCGGCCCTAATGATTTCTTCCAACAATCAGTTCACCAATCTTCTCAGAAAGTTAACAACCGGTTGTTGAACCGGCTGAATCCCACCACTGGAGGTGGGTCTCTTGTGGCCGTGGAGCAATTCCAAACTGATGGCACATTTAACCCCACCCTCAGGCTCAGCCTCCTCATTCTCTACACAAATCAATGTAAGAAGGCAAAAAAAGAATTGCAATTAAATATTTACACAGGGGCACATATTCCTCTTAAATCAGTTCTCCAATACTTTTTCTTTCAATACCTCACAGAGTCAATGTCAAATACGCATCTTTGATTGCATCTTCTCATACCTGTATACTTTAGCAACCTTCTCCCAAAGGTGCTTTTTCAAAAGACAACTGGACTTGTTTTGTTTTTCTTTGAAGACATTTCGCTTCTCATCCAAGAACCGTCTTCAGTTCTTATGGGAAGCACAGATGTCCTCAAAAACAAAAAAGAAAGAGTCCACTTGCCTCTTGAAAAAGCACCTTTGGGACAACCATGACCTGGATCAGTGGTCACCAATCGGTGGGCTGGGAACCACTGGTGGTCCACGAGAAAATTTTGGTGGTCCGCAGAGAAATGTCCCCCCCCAAAGCAATTAATCCAGGCTGCGCAGGAACACAAGGCTGCGCCGCCCACATGGCCTGCCCACCCGCTGTCCCCCACCCTTCAGCCGAGCGCAAACCTTACCTTGAGTAGAGCCATGGGAGCTGGAACTGGAAGGTAAGACCAACAGAAGGGGAGGGAAATCCGCCCCGGGGTGGCTTACTGACATTCGTAGGAAAGTCGGTCCCATATTCCAGAGCTGCAGTAGTCACAGGACTGGCCCTTCGGTCATCCCAGAGCAGCTCCTCCTGTCCATGGCAGGCCAGTGCACCCGGGTGGAGGAGCAGCTGCTCCAGGATGACCAAAGGGCCAGTCTTGTGACTACTGCAGCTCTGGAATAGGGGACCGACTTTTCCATCAATGTCAGCAAGCCATCGCTGGGCAAAATTCACATAAGTGGTCTGTGGGATTTAAAATTATGAGTTTGGTGGTCCCTGAGGTCCAAAAAGTTGGCAACCCCTGACCTGGATGACTGAGAATCTCCGGAGAGGTTTAGCAACCTTGTTTAGTCAGTGTGTTCACCTTTCTTCATCAATTGGATCCCCAAGGATATCTTAGCTCTTGTCCTATGGAAAATAGACATCCACAGCTTGCATTTCTTTTCCCTCTGTGCTCAGGACCCAGTCTTGTTTGGGGGTTCTTTGAGAGAGAACCTTGATCCCTTGAATCAACGCTCAGATGAGGACATCTGGTCTGCTTTGGAGCAGACCCAACTCAAGACCTTTGTTTCAGATTTGCCCGGTCAGATGGCCTATGAGTGCTTCGAAGGCGGTGGAGATCTCAGGTACTTTGGTGGGTTTCTGTTATAATTAAATTGGATACTTCAGTTTTTGGCAGCATTCCACAGCGCTGACAGGTGTGTGCTTATTTGAGGAACTGTTTAAGATAAATTCTGGCTGGAAATGAAAGTAATTCCCAGCGTTGCAATAAAATAGGTTTTGTGTTTAATTACGTTTGACGAAGCCTGGGTCAGAACATAGACAGAAGTATTGGGTCAAACCGATTCTTCACCCCAAGTCACCACATAGGGACGATCTCAGGTTTTAATTGTCCCATCATTCATCTTCCAGTGTTGGTCAACGGCAACTCATCTGCCTGGCTCGGGGTTTACTTCAGAAAACCAAAATCCTGATTCTGGATGAGGCCACTGCAGCTGTGGACCTTGAAACAGACCTGCAGATTCAGGCTACCATAAGGAGTCACTTCAAGGAGTGCACAGTTCTGACCATCGCCCATCGACTAAATGCTATGATGGAATTTGATCGGTAAGAGATGGCTTTGAAGAAGATTTCCAAGACAAATAACTTGTTAGAGTGTTCGCAGCATGACGACTATTATGAGGCAACCCAGGAGCAAAACACAGCACACAGAGGCTTAGACATTTAACAGTGGTTTATATACAAGACATATACAGAAATATACATGGTAGGCAAATACCTGACAAGCAATCCATCTCCTTAACTCTACACAGAGAACTCTGCAATGGATACCAGACACAAGGAGAGAGAACACGCCCTCTAATGGCTGCCTTTATATAGACACCTCTTAAAGAGGTAAAACTTCTGTGGATCCATTCTTCATCTTAAAAGGGCAATACCCATGCTATGCTGAGTCATCCTTATTGCATCAGCCTTACATTGCATCAGCCTTACATTGCATCAGCCTTTCAGCAACTGGTCAGCTCTTAAATTTCAATACCTTAACATAACATAGAAATAGAAAAAAATAGATAAAATGGCCTGATGAAACAGAAGGAGATGTGGTGATATTATTTGAAATCGGAGCAGAAAAATAAAAATAGCAGGAGACACCTTTGGAACCTATTTTTGGAAAAGAAGAATATAGATTTGTCGAAGAGCCAAAAAATAGAAAGCAAGATGCAGTACAGAAAGGAGGAAAGTAAGAATATAAGGTCATCCTCAACTCAAGTCAGAAGGCAATATCAATAGACACCTTCATCTTTCTATTACTACCTAGCACAGGTAGCCCTTGAGTTCTAATCATTTGTTTAGTGACTATTTCAATTTGCAACAGCACTGAAAAAAAGTTACTTGAATTTATGGCCATTGTAAAATTCCCATAGTCACATGATCAAAATTCAGGTGGTTGGAAATTGGCATGTATTATGACAGTTGCCACATTTCAAAGCATGCGATTCCCATTTGCAACCATCCCAGCCAGCTTCTGATGAGCAGAGTCAATGGGGATTCATAGAACAACCATGTTACTGACTTAACAGCTGCAGTGATTTGCTTAACAACCGTGGCAAGAAAGGCTGTAAAATGGGGTAAAACTCACCAACTGTCTCACTTAACTACAGAAATGTTGGGCTGAATTGTGGCCATACGTCTACCTGTAATAAGCTCATGTCTACCTGTAATAAGCTCACCTCTTAGCAAGCTTGAATGCCATTGCTTAAGGAAGCGGAGTCACTGTTGTGGTTAGCCAGCACCAGGTGCAGATGGCTGAGGAGAGCGAGGACTCAAATAAGGGGCCAGGACCATTAGGGAGTGGACTGCTGCCTTCAGAGATTGTAGGGGCTGGCAGCAGTGATGAGGAGGTTCCCGAGGAGCCTGTGCCAAGTGCGCCTGCACGAGGGATTGCTCGGAGGAAAGAGCAGTTACAACAGCACAGGCAACTCGGGAGTAAGGTTGCAAGGTAATGGCTCCTCTTTGAAGAAGATAAAAGCCAGCTGTGAAATGAACATACTTTGCAGAAGGCAAAGACATTTTGAAACTCCAGCCTCGTGGACATTCCAGTATCCTGAGTTTATATTTGAAGATTCTTGTATTGCAAATTATTTCTTGTCTGTTATCTTTTGGCAAATCTCGCACAGTTTGGCAAGGCTTGTGCTTACCACAGCTAATTATTTTGCAGAAGCATTACGAGGTTTCTGTTCTCTTTGGATTGGGTTTGATCTGTTGGAAAAGGGCGTGGGTCAGAACAGTCACCATGGTAGCTTTCATCCACTGGCCTTGTAGACTAAACTTGCTTGTTTCTAATATTTGCAGAATTTTAGTGATGGAAAATGGACAAGTGGCCGAATTTGATACCCCAGAAGCCCTGACGGTCCAGAAGGGACTATTCTACAAAATGGCGGCAGACTCAGGGCTGGTGAGGTGACCGAGTTGGAAGAAGAAACAGACCGCCTGGCTGCTTTGTTTGAAAAAGGACCTTTTCTTAATTTTCTGGCTGTGAGCAGGGAGAGCTCAATGCTTGGCTTGGGAAACGGCTGATGCTTTCTCTTGCTGTGCAAGTGAGGAGCAGATGGAGAATAGAAGCCCAAATCTTCCCGGCTTAATTTCAGCATGATACTTTGCTGTACCGCAGCGCTGAAGCCAGCATGCATGAACCATGATCCGTGCTGCGAGCTGCACCACACCTAGCTCGAGCAGATGTTGTCCCTGCCAGCCGAAAACACTGCACAGATGGTTGCCAGGACGCATTGCAACAGCCTGTATTTTGGTGTGATCGTGTCAAAGATGTCGCCCATTTACTCATAATCTCTTTCGCTGCTCCCGCTGCTTTCGTCCCCAGTGTAAAGCAACGCAATTGCAGAAATGGTACTTGCTAAACTGATACGCAAAGCCAATTATTTGTATCTTGCTGGAGACTGGTTGAAATATCCGAACATCAGAATGACAGAGTTGGAAGGGAACCTTGGAGGTCTTCTAGTCCAACCCACTTCTAGTCCAAATGGAAGTCCAGTGTCTTCTTAAAAATCTCCAGTGATGGAACACCCCCAACTTCTGGAGAAAAGTGATTCCACTGGTTAATGGTTCTAACTGTCAGGAAATTTCTCCTTAGTTCTCAATTGCTTCTCTCCTTGATTAGCTTTCCACCCGTTGCTTCTTGTCCTGCCTTCAGCTGCTTTGGAGAATAGCTTGACTCCCTTTTCTTTGGGGCAGCCCCTGAGATATTGGAACACTGCTATCATGTCACTCCTAATCCTTCTTTTCATTAGATTAGGGCAGGGGTCTTCAAACTTGACAGTTTTTAAGACTTGTGGATTTCAACTCCGAGAATTCCTCCTCCAGTCATGTTAGTTCAGGAATTCTGGGAGTTGAAGTCCACAAATCTAAAAGTTGCCAGGTTTGAAGACCTTTGGATTAGGCATTTCCAATTCCTGCAACCATTCATCATACACTTTAGCCCCCTAATCATCTTTGTTGCTCTTCTCTTCACTCTTTCTAGAGTCTCAACATCCCTTTTTTGGTATATTTTTGTACACATTGCAAACTCAAATAGATCTCAGCCTTCCAGAAGATGCTATTGCCCCCACCTCATATTCCCACGGAGGCTCTGGGTGATGGGTGCCCAACACACCTTGATCTAACCTTGATGGCAATCATCTATTGAAGCAAAAAGCCAACTAGCGCATGGCAGTTGAGATGCCTTCTCATTGTCAATTCTCCGTCTCTCTCTCTCTTTCTCTCTCTCTTTCTTTCTCTGTCCCTCTCTGTCTCACCCCTTCTCAGCCCCTCCTCCAGCTTGCAAAAAAAAGCTGGAATACTCAAGCCCTTCTTTGTAAAGTGGGGATCTGCTTTCACTGCCCTCCTGCCTCAGAGTTGCCTCTGAAAGGAGAGGCCTGATGTGGTTTTGCTCAGGCTCAGCTGGTTTCCAAAATCATGGAGCTACAGCAAGTGGTGACTCTACTTTCTATGTTTGTGGTTGGCATCTCAAAATGTAAGTAGAAGGAACTGTGGAAACTCACTCTGTGTGTGTGTGTGTGTACATGCATGCTTCTCAGAGCCTTTGGCCAGTGATTTAATCTGATTTTATTCAGCCGTGCTATTTTAACAAGGGACTTTTGCCGTATTTAATATGGGAGGGATCTGGCCATAAGCTACCAAGATTGGCCAAAGTTGAGTTAAGTCACAACTTCTGGAAACTTCAAGGATTCAAAAGCCAGCCAGGTGGTTGGTATCTCAAAAAGAAAGAGGATTTCATTTGCTTTGAATACCCGTTTTGTAAATTTTCCATGCTTTCTGAATCTTACTAAGATGCTACATAGCCCACTTTGCAGTTTATGTTTCTCTCGCTATTCTGGTAGTGGTCCCCAGTCAAAACCGAAGACCACTTACCTGGTCAAGGGAAGCGGGGGAATCCAAAGACTTTTTTTTTTTTTTGACTAACTGGAAATCTTACATGGACTTTCTTTGATGAAAGAAGAGAAGACTGAACTGATAATTTTGGGGTTAAAAAGGGCCAAAGCGGATCGGAGGGGAAATGAGATGATAATTACTCCATAAAACAGCAAAAGACATTATTATGTGTTTTCTTTTCATTCCTTTTTTTTTTGCCTACGTTTATTGTAACCAAAAAGTCTAATAAAAATATAAAACAAAAAGAAGTACAAAATTTGCATAGAAAAGAGTTTTCTTAAACATGTGCATTAGGAAGGTTTGCTCAAAATTTAGGGTATTTAAGAGGGTGCAAACACTGTATATTTGTGTGCAAAGAAGCATTGAAGGAAATGTGTATTAGCCAGAGTGTGTGCATGCTTATTTTCGTATGAACTTTTAGGGAAAAACTTTTAAAGGTCTCACCCGAGCACTAAAGGAAAATTCGATCTGATACAGCAAACAGGACAAGCTGAATTTAAGAATAGAATAGAATTCTTTATTGGCCAAGTGTGATTGGACACACAAGGAATTTGTCTTTGTTGCAGATGCTCTCAGTGTACATAAAGAAAAAAATAAAATACATTCATCAAGCTGAGGAAATAAGTTAAAAAAACCAGGAGAGAATCTGACTTGAATAAATTGTTTTGTCAACGCAGAACTGGATTTTCCCAAACTGGCAGTTGAAAAGGCTCTTAATTGTGTCTCCTGGAGGAACACACAGAGTAGAGTTTAGCTTTTCCCCCAGATGGGCTTTTTTTTTTTCCCTCTGAATTTTGCACAAAACAATTTTCACCACTTGTGAAACTCCTCCTTTATCATCCAGAGAGAATTTATATTTTGGGCTAGGTAATAAGAGGCTTGTTGGAATGCAGAAATGGAGTGGAATCAGGAGAACATCTGGATCAGAACAAAAGATAGAATAGAATAACAGAGTTGGAAGGGACTTTGGAGGTCTTCTAGTCCAACCCCCTGCCTAGTCAGGAAACCCTACACCACTTCAGACAAATGGTTTTCCAACATCTTTTTAAAAACTTCCAGTTTTTGGAGCACCCACAACTTCTGGAGCCAAGTTGTCCTACTGATTAATTTTTCTCACTGTCAGAAAATTTCCCCTTAATTTTAAGTTGCTTCTCTCCTTGATTAGTTTCCACCCATTGCTTCTTGTCTTTAGTTAGAAGGTTTCTGCCATGATTTTACAATCCACCCTGGCTCTCTTATTTTATTGAGTTACACAGAGATCTTTTTCTCCAAATAGGTAGAAACAAAACAACTCCAGGGGGCAGGCTGTTCCATTGCTTCGTTGCTCTCACTGTCAGAAAATTTCTCCTTAGAAATTTGATATGATCTCTTAAAGTTTTATTTCAAAAGTCATATAGTAATGTTTCTCAGCTGTATCAACTCCAAACGGCATGTTAGGGACTTCAACTCCCAGAATTTCCCAGCCATCATGTATGCATGTTGACTGGAGAATCCTGGGAACGGAATTGCACCGTGCCTTGAAGTTGCTGTGGTTAGAAGCACTTGTTCTAGAACCTAATCGTAAAGTACACCCTAAAAAAATCAGAGGGGTGTTTATTCTTAGATCGGCTGAGAAAACTGGCTGGTCTTTTGAATAAAAAGTGATTCTCCTCACCTCCCAATTCAGCAAATATTCCTGTTTATGGACAAACGTTACTTCTGCGTTTTCAACACTTAATGGGAAACAGTAGCATTTAGGTGGATTAGTAGATTAAAAATGTAGCTTGGGATAAATTGAATTCATTGGGTTCGGAGACATCTATGCCTCCATTATGATTTAAGTTCCACCAACCGTGTTCACGTTTAGTGCCTAATTTTCACTTATACATCTATGCCTCCATAATCATTCAAGTTCCACCAACAATGTTCACGTGGACTGCCTAATATTCACATAGGCCCGTGATGGCAAACCTATGGCACGGATGCCGGAAATAGCATACAGAGACATCTTTCCAGGCATGTCAGCCATCGCCCGTTGCTCTTCCAGGGATCCAGTGCACCCAGGCCAGCTGGTCTTCCAGTTTCTAATATGCATGCACACGTGAAGACCAGCTGGCCAACATGCGTGTTAGAAACCAGCCAGCCAGTTGGTTTCCGTGCACACATGCACGTTAGAAGACAAAAGACCAGGTGGCCAGTGCGCATGTGCGCATTGGGAGCTGCTCTTCCGTTTTTCGGCATGTGCGTTTTAGCACTGGGTTCCTTTTCGGCATGCACGTGCTCCCGTTTTAGCGCTCAGTGCTGAAAAGGTTAACCACCACTGGCGTAGACTGTAGTTTTCTGATGTGAAGCCCTCCAGCTGATGATATATTTAGAGTGGAGGTGAGGCCTTGGATCTCATCCAAGGTTAATCAGACAAGTGGTTGATGCCTTAATCCTTCTGGCCCTGGAGCTGGGAGCCAGTCCTGCTACAACAGACACTTGTTCTCAAAACTGAGCTGTTTCGCCCGCTGCTAAATCCATTCATCCCATCCTTGCGTAAACATGGTGGTTTCCAAGACGACCGACATGACTTTCTGCAAATGTTATGTTGTTCCTTGAATGTTTTCCTAGACCTACGAGAAATAAACAGTCACGTCAGAACCACCCTGGCTTTCTTGCAAATGCTTTGCCAACAGTGGCTGTTGGTTTGTCATTGCAGGAGACCCAGAAAATTTCAGGCACAAATACTCTTGTTTGTCTCAGTGTGCAGGTAAGATGACGAAATGAATTCTTAGTAAGAAAACGCCCAAATATAAGAGATATTACCCCATTCCATGCCTATTCACTGGTTACCCCTTTCCATGTCTATTCACTGGTTAATCCAAATGTCCCGCCATCTGAATTTGGGCTGTCTGTTTAAGAACTAAACCTTTAATTGAAATGTAGAAGCATTAGACATATTGACACTTTGAAGGATGATGGGTTTTAACTGTGATGGGTTGGTTTGAAGAAAGAAATGGAGGGGACCAATGCAAACCTTTGGTGGGCACCCTGTCTGTTTTCTTCTTCTGAGTTGATAGCTAAGGACTTCATAAAATGAGATCCCAGGAATGTAGGATGCCTCCTCTGTCTCCAAATGATGAGACCATCATATTTCTATTGGTGTTTGCACTCCCAAGGCAGTCCATTCTAGTGCCCCATTTTAAAAATTATTATTGAAATATTTAGACATTAGCAGTACAATAAAAATGGATTGAGCTTTGACTGCATTTTCATGGTTGCTATCTTCACTGTTTTGATCATAACCTGGGAACACTTAGGAAAAGTTCCAAAAGCTCTCTATCTAATATTCTCTAATGCCTGATCACATAGTGTTATAAATTCTGTTTATATATAGCACTACAGAGCAAACAAAGAGTACAGTCACCATGTGCTTTACTGCTTAACTGTTTTACTGTAACAGGAAACAGGAATTAGAACAAAAGAGCATGGAGTATATATTATAGATCTAAATACTGCCATCTACTGACTGAATACTACTGTAGTTGTTGCATAGAAATACATTCCAATCAGAGGTGGTTGTTCAGCCGGTTCTGACCAGTTCTGGAGAACTGGTAGTGGAAATTTTGAGTAGCTCAGAGAACCGGCCAATACCACCTCTGACTGGAGATTTTATAGTATCCTTCCCCTGCCACGCCCACAGAACCAGTAGTAAAACATTTTGAATCCCACCATTGATTCCAACAATGAATTCCATTTTGGACTAATTTATTGCATCCACCTAAAGGATTTCCTCCAAAGCTGCTTTAAACAACTGGGTACCATCAAGGCACTGTCTCAGAACCTTTCTTTTCTTTCACAGGTTTTAGCACACCAGCTGTTCCCGTGGGATCCAGGTTCAGCTATAGCTACTCAACATCTACCACTACATTCCTTCAAGGAAGGGCCTACCAAAGAAGTGGCATCACCCTAGAAAGTAAAGTCGTGATTGAAGTATTGGCAAATTGTCATCAAATTTTAAAAGTGAGTAGGACATTCTAGAGGGTTGGATCATTCAACGGTGCATTAGTTTTCTTCCCTGGAAATATAAGCAATGGGGACAGGGCAAGCGCATGTGCATATTAAAAACCCTAAAATCATCATACAATAAGTGCAGAACTTCTTTGGATTCAAGTTTGACTCAGAAATTATCTATGGGCTGTTTTCCTCATATTCAGTCTGTCTATCTGTCTATTTGTCTATCTACCACCAACCCACCGATCCATCCATCCATTCCTTCATCCTAAGTTGTCTTTATCTCTCTCTTCTCTCTCTTCCATCCATCCATCCATCCATCCATCCATCCATTTTCAGCCATTTGAAAACTGTATTGTGTTGACATCTGTTCTTGTTCCTAGTTGCAAGGAGTACAGATCAAAACCATCTTTGAATCCGAGGCGAAGTTGATGAATGAGAATGACGGTTTAAGGTAAAACAACTCTAGGTCCAACCTTCCTGTGGTTTCCCCATCACCATTATAATTAAATCCACCCATCTTTCTGTTAATTGACTTCTCCTTCTCTTTCTTTCCTCCTTTCTCAGTATTTCAGCCTTCTGCAGAAAACTACCCCTTTGTATTGATTGATTGATTGATTTGATTGATTGATTATGTACTATCAAATTAATGTCAACTCTTAAAGGCCACGTGGATAGATTTTTCTCCATGACCATCTGCCCATGAACTGGTTCTTCACACTGTAATTGAGTCCTTCCCCTTGTTGGCCATCCTTTTCTTCTCTTTCCTTCTCCAGCATTGTAGACTTCTCCAGGGGGTTAGGTCTTCACGTTTTTTCAGTATACCCACATTTCCTTAGCTTACAAAATCTCCTTCTTATTGTCTTCTAGGGAAATTTTGGAGCAATACCCACTCTGGTTTTGTTTTCATAAGGGGAAAGTTCTGAAGATCTTTCCCCAGAAGAATGAGTCCACTTGGGCCCTCAACATCAAACGGGGTATCTTGAGCGCTCTGCAGACATCATCTGTGGCTCCCAACAGCAGTGTGGAAGAGGTGAAGCTCTTTAGACCACAGTGCTGAGTTTAGCCCATTCGTAAGGCTGCGAGTTTGGTAACCCCCATACTCCTATGTCCCATTGTTGTCACTGTTTATATCTCAGCTGCTAAAAATTTTTTAGAAAAGGGAGGGCACCGAGAGAACAAATCAATGCAACGTCCCAATTTAAATGTCAGCAAGTGTGACACATGTAAGTCTGATGGGAGACAGCCAGGACAGTGAAAGATAACTCAGATTAGTCAGCCTATCAAACTGGATGAGGTCCATGGCCCACAAGTGTCTCATTCCTGACCTACCATTTTTAGTGCCATTTCTCACCTATCTCCTTTATTTCTGTTAAGCTATGGGTTAGAATTTTAGGTAACTAAGGACAGTAATCCTGACTTTGTTTTCCTTGAAAAAGAAAACAATACTGGACAGTTACTTGTCTGCTTGGTTTCTGCTTGAGCAGGGGGGTGGACTAGATGACCTCCAAGGTCCCTTACAGCTCTATTCTATTCTTTTTATTCTTACCTATTGTTAATTCAGGTGGATATTTCAGGGAAATGTCCCACTCACTACCAGCAGAAAGGTACGGTCCTTCTGAAGATGAAAGATTTCAACTTGTGTTCTCACCATTTTTCGGGATTTACTTCTCTGAGATCGGTGGCTCTTCCCGATGCATCGGTAACTTGTGATATTTTTTTTTTCTTTAACAGTGTCCTGCTTTGGGGTGGTTTTTAGCAATTACGGTGCCAGTTAGAAATAGCATTTAAATAAAAGAATAATAATTTAAATGAAAAATAATTGGCCTCCATTTTATTGTGACTAAAATGGCATTGATTAGATGTTCATGACTCATCCACTAGATCAGAGGTTGCCAATCTTTTGGACCTCAGGGACCACCAAACTCATAAGCGCACCAATGTGCCTACCGTCCCTGTCCTATTGTTTCTTTTATTTCTTTTATTTTTCTTATATGTATCCATGTATTCACAACTATGTTTTTTACTTATACCTATTATCTTGTAAGCAATTGACAAATAGATAGATAGATAGATAGATAGATAGATAGATAGATAGATAGATAGATAGATAGATAGATACAAAATAATAATTTTAATCCCATGGACCAGAGACCCTGGAAAAATCCCCCAAAAGTCTGCAGGAAAATTTCCCACCCTGTTTTCCTACTGATCGATCATTCTTTATTTGGGATCATAGGATATTGTCTCCAGCTCCATTCTCAGGGAGAGAGAGAGAGAGAGACTTTTGGCTTCATGCAAAGAAAGCAGCAGAAGCAGCAGAAGTCTTTCTTTCTCTCCCCCAAACTCTGCGAGAAATGAGTCTTTGCCGGCGCAGCCCCTTTGGAGCAGGAGGCTTTACAGGGTCCCAAAGACTCATTTCTGGCGGAGTTTGGGGGAGAGAAAGAAAGACCTTTGCTGGTTTCCTTGCATCCAGCTAAAAACAGAAGGCGAAAGAAGCGGAAAGAAGCAGCCCAGTGGCCAGGCAAGGTGCATGGGGCGAATGGGGCAAGTTCTCCCCTCTGCCCTTTCCCCCTTCCCCTCACTACCTCGTGTTGCTCGCAATGCAAGCGGCGCAGCCTTGTGTTCCTGCGGGACTTGTGTTCCCGCACAGCCTGAATTAGGGGGTGCTCTGTGGGTGACATTTCTCTGCGGATCAACAAAATTTTCTCATAGACCACCAGTGGTCCCCAGCCTACTGGTTGGCGACCACTATACTAGATCGCGTGTGTCTGTTCACTCCCAGGAGCAGCTTCTGTCTTCCAAACTTGAATGTGTCCAGAGATTTGAGGAGAAAGGAATCCTTGCAGAACTCAAATGTATGGAGTCCCATCTTGTTACACCTCCTGCAAGGAAGGGCAGTGGAGTGAAGATGCAAACTCGGACAGACTTGAAGCTCTTCCGAACTGAAACTCATAGTGTATCCCAGGAAAAAGGTTGGTTAATGCCTCCAAGCAAGAACGAATTAATAGGATGACTGTTGCATGGCCAACCCTACTGTTGGGTAGAGCCAAAGAACAGTGATTTGTTACTGCTTTAGTTCACTGTTTCTGGACAGTGATTACCAGATGTTGCTTCTCCTTGGATCCCAAAATAAAATAGGTTCAGTGCTTCCATTTGCCAAGGAAGAAGAATGGAACTTATTGTCCCATGTTAGGGAACAAACATCTTTGAATGATGCTTTCTGTGTATTTCCTATATCTACAATATAATGCTGGTTTCATTTCTCTAGTACCCACTAGTGACATCTATGAAAGCAGCCTGCTCTATGAAAAAGAGAAAATGGCACCACTGTCCAAAGAGGAGGAAATGAAAGAAGTAGCTAATGTTCTTCAGAAGCTCTGCATGAAATCTTCCATGGAGACTGAGGTAGCTTATTGAATTATCGTGACAGAGCAACTCTAGAGCACTTGTCACACCTTCAAGATTGCCTTCATTCTGTTCCAAATAAAATAGGTTGGGTAGAAGTCCTCTCCACTGCACGATATGTCCACAATTTAGTAGGCAATCTCAGATCACCAGGTCTTTGCCAAGAATGCCAAACTCTTACAAAAAAATGCATCCATATGCAAGATCTCGTGATGTTTGAAGTGTGAAAGTCATTTGCCAAGCATCTCCATTTTGATTAGGTGGGATCACGGGAATGTGGCTATGGTTCTAAGTGTGAAAAAATATCTTTTTTCGCCGCTGTTGTAACTTTGAATGGTCTCTAAGCAAACTCTTGTAAGTTCAGGACTACCTCTATTTTCCCTATGTCCTGTGTTGACCACATCTTGTAGGCCTAGCCATCTTGTGTTATATTCTGTGCTCCAATTGACTCTCCTAATCTCCAAATCTGCATCTTTTTTAAAAAAAAACACACCCTCTTGTGTAGGAAGAGGCTTATGGGAATTGTCCACAAGATTGCCTTGGAAACCCCGTCTTTACCAGCCAGGCATAGCCTCTCTTGCTCCCGGCTATTATTATTTTTTTGTGCTTCCAAATGGGGTGAGATTATACACGCCATTCAGGCAAGCAAAACAAGAATGAAAGAAGCCTGGGGAGGAATCTCCCTCGTTCCCCATTGAAAGCAGAGGAGGAAATGCTTGTCACTCACAGGGGAGCCTCTATAGAGTCGCTGCCCACCCATTGTGGCATCAGATGGAATGTAAATGCTGATTAAATAATGGGCTGTGAATTGAGCCAAAGGCCTGGAGCCAGACAGGGAGAAAGAGGAAGCTATAGAAAGGGAGATAGGAAAGAAAGAAAGAAAGAAAGAAAGAAAGAAAGAAAGAAAGAAAGAAAGAAAGAAAGAAAGAAAGAAAGAAAGAAAGAGTTGGCTTGGGGGATGGGAACTCCCTGTGGGTTAGGGGACAAGATTTTTGGTTCACTTCTTCTTCTTCTTTAATTGCTGATGCTTAGAGAAGCATCCGTGGCACATAGCTTCAAGACAAGGATCCATAAAGCTTGCATCTGTTCCCTGGTGTCCTCTTAAGTAGCCTTTTAATGGGCTTTTATCATAAAGTCAGTGGTGGAATTCAAAATTTTTTACTATGGTTCTGTGGATATGGTTGGTGGATGTGGCAGGGCTTGGTGGGCGTGGCAGGGGAAGGATACTGCAAAATCCCCCTTCCCTCCCCACCCCCCTAACCTGCTTTCCAGCTCCATTCTTCTGTGCAGGGCAACCAAAGAAGACCCAGCCGATCAGCTGGGACTCGGGAGGCAAAGAATAGATGGGGTTGGCAGGGCCAGTCCGAGGTGGTATTTGCCAGTTCTCCAAACTACTCAAAATTTCCACTACCGGTTCTCCAGAACTGGTCAGAACCTTCTGGATACCACCTCTGCATCCAATGTGGGAGAAGAGTGGCAAAACGTGGAGGCCTGAAGGAGATGACCAAGCTGAGCCCAAAGGAGGAGTCAAGCATGCCGTGCCCCCAAGAGATATATGTCCAGCCTATCTTGGATTCTGTTGACTCTTATCTACCACCGATTCGCTTTGACCCTAAGCAGTTCCCATTCTTGTTTAAAGGAAGCATGGAATAAATATGTTCTCATTTTGGATCTAACCCCAATTCCCTATTTCTTGCACCTGACAGAGCAGGACAGAGGTGGTATTCCCTAACCCACCAAGCCACGCCCACCAAACCATGCCATGCCCACCAAGCCACACCCACAGAACCGGTAGTAAAAAATGTTGACTCTCACCACTGGGTGGGGGTTAAAAGAGGGATCCGCCTAGAATCCCTACATAGCCACAAGTGAACTAAATCCAACGCCCACTTCCCTTGAATGCTGCTGACCCTTACTTAACTCTAAGCAGGTGCCAACAATTAGTGGAGAAGGTTCATGCGCACAGGTTTTTATAAATAAATCAGTTTAATTGAGCCTTCACATGTGGACGTAATCTTGTGTGCTCACATCAAGTCATTGTTGACCGAAACCAGCTACTCTTCTCTTCTCCAGAATGGAACGTCCCCAGCCTGGTTCTTTTGATGTTCTACCAGTGTACCATCAACATTATAATGGAATCCATTCACCTTGTTTCTACTCATTCTCTTCTCTTCCCTTCTACCTTTCCCAATGTTATAAATTTCAAGACAGTTAGGTTTTGGAAGATTCTGTTAATGTAGTTTTAAAATAAAATAGAATTAGCTCCTCTGGTTGTATTTCCTGTCTGATCTACAGTACTTGACATCAATCTTGCAAGTCTGAAAGTACAGATCTACCATCATCATTTTTACAGTCTGAGAAACTAAGGAAGTCCCTCCCAAACTTCTTACCTGGCCCATTATTCAGTTGCAGGCTATGCTTTGACCATTCCGTAGACCACATTTTTTGCTCCTTCTCTCAAGGTCTTTCTCACATACCATCATCGCTATCAAGAAAACTGTAATGAGATGGAGTTACCAGAAATTAAGTCCGCTTTGAAGACTTCATTTTTCTTTCCAGCAGTTTTTCCAATCCCTTGAGAATACATCTTTCCCAACCCATGGTTATGATGCTTTGCATTGCATCCAATTTGATACTGGGAGACATTTTCCACACTATTGATTTTTAAATGTATAAACACTGATCCGGATCTTCTTTTTCTCCTCAGCCTACAGATCTCTTCCTGAATTTGGTGTTTGCACTTCGACAGGTCTCCGCTGATGTCTTGATGGATCTGTGGCAGAGTCCTTCTTCCAAATGTCAAGATAACTGGTAAGGTGGCTAAAAATAGTCCCAGAAGTAGCTCAGAAGGCAATGTGGAACATTTAATTAAGATTTATCGGACAATCCCAAGATCTCTCACTCTCCTCCACATAGATGGGAGTTTACACTTACAGCAATAGGTACTCTACCTTTGAGTAAGATGCAGAAGAGATTCAACTAATTCCATGTCAAGAACACCTCCAGATATGTTCAGAGACATAGACTGAGAGACTTAGACAGGTCCTTTTGAGCTCTTTATGCCAAGCCTAGTGCTCAGAGCTAGTTTTCCTCCTAAGCAGTAGGTGGTTGTGTTGAATTTGGTTATGTCTTACTGAGAGATCTATTTAGTGGAATTTCATGGGGAAAAAAAACACCTCCTAAGCCCAAGGAAAAGATAGCTGAATTATTTCTGTTATATCAAACCTTTCAGCCTCGGTGGAATGGATTTCTGAAAACAAAAAAGGATGCTTGCAAAAGATTGGTATGGATTTATCTTTTCTAAATGAGTAGCTGTGATTCTTCTTGAAGTCAAGAAAGAGTCAAAAAGAGGTTCAGGAGTATCAGAGAAGCTCAAACTTTACCTCATGATAGATGGTGGCCAATATACCTGTATATACATATTCAGTTTCCGTTAACACCATTTTCCTTTTAATAAATCGAATGAGCCCCTGTGGGAATTCAGTTTTCTTAGTTGTAAGAATCCAGCTGGGGCTAATCAACAATGTAGAATTCATGGGTGGGGAAAAAAATACCCTTTGCCTTCTTACAAGGCTAACCTGTCTAGATTAGCCATCTGCCTAGCTTAGGGCTGAGGTTATTCCTATTTTTTATTTTTATATATTAAATTTCTATACCGCCCATCTCACCTAAGTGACTCTGGGCAATTTACAACAAAAACATTCCAGCTCTGTGAATCTCAACCTATCAATCACCTTATAAATCTCAATGTATCAGTTTATTGGTCTCAACTAATCTCAACCTATATCAACCATCTTATGAATCTCAATATATGAGTTTTTCAGTCTCAATGTATGAGTTTATCAGTGTCAACTTGATAGCCCTATCAATCTATCGGTCTCCATCAAACAAGCAACCTAGCAAACTGTCCGTTCTTTACATATCTCAATTTTGTTACCATTCTTGCATTTCTTTCAGGCGGCCTCTCTTGGATGCTCTTCCCTTTTGTGCAACTGAACCCTGCGTCATCCTGATGAAAAAGCTGATTATTTTGCAAGAAGTAGAAGAGGACCGCATTGACCATTTCCTGAGGTCCCTCACCTTCATTCCAGAGCCCACTGCAGGCATGATCGATGCTTTAGCTGTAAGCAGGATAACGGATGGCTTGATTGTGGCTGCTTGTTGAGATGTATCAGCTGTATTCACATAAAAGGCTAATCTAAAAAAAACAGAGTCTAGAAACCAAAATGGGTAAATCAGAATCATCAAGAAAATTAGAGGTTGTTGCATGAACCAGATGACCGTTTAAATCCACAATAAAGTTGGTTAGTCAGTTGATTAGATGGTTGGTTAGTTGGTTGGATGGATGGATGGTTGGATGGTCAGTCAATCAGTTGGTTAGTTGGTTGGCTGGCTGGCCAGCTGTCTCTTGGTTGGGGTATGCTGAATGATTGACCTGGTACACTGTGTATCTTAAACAGGACATATGGTTTAATTTTTCTGAAAACCTAATCATGGGTACAGTATAGAATGTATATGATTATTCATACAAGGAACAAGCAATACAATGTCCTGTAGATATTTTGGATGTCAGTTTTTATCATTGTACACTTGTGTTTATAAGTTGGCATTCATTTCCTGCATAAAACTCACATATTTGAACACATGGCTATTTTTAACTGTGATGTGATTGGTTTTTTTGTTGATTATTGATAGGTTTGTTGTTTTAATGTTGTTTCCTGGTTGTCTAATGTTGTGAACCACTACCAACTAGCTTTGTCAGGAGTGTGCAGGTGTACATCTGAAAAATAAATATATAAAGAGAGAATCAATTTGAGAATCAGAATTTTAGCTCGTATGTCAAAAGTGCTCAAACTTAAGGAAAGGAGGTAAAAAAAATAGAGAGACTACAGTTCAGCTCCTGAGTTCCCCCAAATCTTTATAATTGATTAAGTCTGGCATCAAATGCCTTCCTTTAGGTCCCACCATTGGCCCAATACAACCCAGTATTTGATCTTCTGCCATGCTGTCCAGATTCCCTCTCGAGGTTCTTCATTACATTTATCTCCAGATCTATCTTAATCTAACTTGATCCCCCCAATTATATCATATAACATAATGTTCTTACTTTTCTATCTCTCTTGTTCAGCCTCTGTTGGAGTTACCCAAAGAACGGCAAATAGCGTTCTTAGCCTTAACGTCTTTGCTGCATCACTTCTGCTCCACAAGAACCAACTGTGACCAAGTACCAGCGGTATTGAGAATTATGAAAATTCTGGGAAGACGCCTAGGGAGGAAATGCTCTGGGTCCAGATTGAAGGGAACTGCTCAGGTAGAGTCTTCTGTTTGGTTAAAGATGAAGAACACCGAGTCTCTTTTTGTTTTGAGGGTTGTTGTCCTTCCAGATTTATTTGTGGGATGTCTCACTCAACTTCACTTGGGCTTCTCAGATGGAACTGATCTTAAATGCGATTGGAAATGCAGGGCTGGCTGCAACGTCTTTGACAACACTCCTGAGTTCCTGTGCGGTGCTGAAAAACAACCCTAATGAAATCCGGCTGGCAGCCATTGAAGCTTTCCGGCGCATCCCTTGTGCAGCCAACGTAGGTGATGTAGAGTGGATTGGCCATCCCATTTTAAATAAAATACACCATCAGTCTGGTAGAGAAAAAAAGAGCAAATTAAGTGTTAAAGACATGATTGCTGGATCTGAATATATAGCCACAAGATCCAACTCTCTTCCTATTCATTGGATGATCCTGGGATCTAGTATTAGTATTACTAAAGCGAGTTCCTACTGTATTGCTGTATTTTCTTCACTAGCTTTCAATCTGAGCTAAAATGCTACATTGGTAACAATGATGATCTTAATCACGGTTCTTTAAGAAGCCATTCATGGTTTGATTGTTAGATAATAAAGACTCAAATTGGGCATAGACATAAGCCATGATTTTCAGACCCCAGTGTTTGGGTTTCCACAATGAAAGCCCAAATCCTTAGAGCTTAGCTGAAAGGTAAACCAAGTTATTATAAACTTTCCTCAGCGAGAAAGTGGATTCTAGCTTTGCATCAGTATAATCCTTTCTTAATCTTTTCCAATTCTCTAACACTGTTTTGATGTGAGCAGAACTGAGTGCAATATTCTAAGTGTAATTGCACTATATATATTGGTTAACTCCTCTTCTCCTCTTCTTTTTCCTCATATTGCCTTGCCTTCCTTTACCTTACCTTACCATCATTTTCCTACTTTACTTTAAATACTTTACTTGAAATTTTAAATTTGCAAGCCATAATTTAAAACCTAGGATTTCCTTCCTTCCCCAAATCTCTTACAAAGGCACGGTTGATTTTTCAGACAATAGTTAACATAACCTGTATGCATGTTATGAAATAAGGAGTTCAAAATGGCTGCTTGCCCAACACCTAGTGGTTAGTTTCTTCTGCAGAAAATAAAAACCGTTCCCATTTGAACATTAAACCTTAGCAAAATCTTGCACTAAGGCTAATCTATTGTTAATGAGGTTCTTGGGACATTGAAATGAGATATGAATGGATGTGGCCAACATTTGATAAACATTCTTTACCCTATATTCTTTCATGTTAGCGTGCTGTATTGGTCCAGCTGTTTCAAACCTATGATGAGAATGTTGAGATCAGAATTGCTTCGTATCTTATGGCCATGAAATGTCCTAGCAAAGATTTATTTAATCACATTAAATGGACTTTGCAGGAGGAGCGATCCAGCCAAGGTAAGAGGGGGTCTTTCCTTAGATATTCCCCATCTCTGGAAGAATTGGCTATTATCCTAAGTGCAAGAATTTGGTTACAAGTTTCACTGAATTGTAAGGGACTTATTTATGAATAAATACATGATTGCATTAGTTAAGCTGCAAACATATCCATATTTATTTGGGAAAAAATGCGACTGAACTCAGTGAGACATTACTTCTAGAAAGACATGCTTAGAAAGAACTATAATGTACAAAACATCTGCAGAGAGGTTATAGGCATGTTCACCTATCTTTGTTAAACCTCATCTTGATTAAACAGTTGATTGAATAATCTGCAATTTGTTGGCTTTAATTAGAACGCTATGATTGATAAAGAATAGTGCCTAAGTTTGCCCCGAATATTCAGCCTCAAATAATCAAAGTACATAATGTAAAAATCTTGTCATAACATTTTAGGTTTTTGCAGGATGAAAGTAATTGTAGTAATCCAGCATCTCTGAAGTCATCAAGTTAGAAGCAATTTTGCTGTATTCCGCATTAGGTTTAGCTTCTGTTTTCCAATAATTGAACTGTTTTGTTGTTGTTTGTGTGTGTGTGTCTGTATATATTTTTTGAGTGGGGTCTTTTGTCTGGAGTCATCTTTCTGAGCTCTTAAGAACAGAAGACCCACTAAAACAGGATCTTAGGAACTCTCTTCCTGAAGACATCCTTCTCAAGGAATTTGATTGGGAAACATGGAAATTTTCTTCCTACACAGATGTTACCTTCCACTCAGGTAGCTGAATGCATTATGAATGAATGAACGAATGAATGAATGAATGAATGAATGAACGAATGAATGAATATTAAGTCCTTGGGTTTTTATGCATTAAGTCTTAAACTTTGGGCAATACACAATGATCAATAATTGGCTGTTTGAGCTCTGCCTTGAATTGCATTTCTTCAGACATCCGAAATTTTCTGTAGAGTTTTTTTCAGTTTATTAAAAAAATGTGGTCATCATATCTATAGAATCTGAATGTTAATTCTTCTTGTTTAGAGCCTTTTTAAATACAGGTATTTTCTACCTGTGTAAAAAATACGGTCACTTAACAATCACATATCTGAAATGTGAGCCTGTATAATCAAGATGCACAGTTTGTTCATTTGTGCCAGAAGCATCACAATTAAAATAGGGCATACTGTGCAACATCAAATTTAAAATATAAAATAAAGGTTAAAATATGTGCAAGTGAAACAAATCTTGCCCAGAAACTAGCAACATTAACTGTGTTCTGTCTCACTGCCATGATGTTCTGGTCTGTCATGTGTCTTGCACTGATCAGGACACTAAAGGCAGGTATATATATATATATATAGCTGTGTTGTATACACAACTGGACACTTCAACAAGACAAGTTTTTCTTCTAACTGAAGTATTTTTGGGAACTCTTTCCATTCCAGCGATGGCCAGTGGAAATGCTGAGGCTCAGGTCATCTTCTCACCCGCTTCTTTTATCCCACGTTCGATCCTGACCAATTTCACCCTCCATCTGCTGGGACGGGCTATCAACCTCTTAGAGGCAAGTGACCTGAAAGACACATGAACCAATTATTAGGCATAATGCTGCATAAATTTGTCACGCACAGGAATCCAGATTTGTATTCTTAGGAACAGATGAAACTTCTTCCTCCCAAGTCAGGTCATGATTGATCCAGCCATGACCAGAATCCCCAGGCTGATGTCCCTCTAGATAAGTAGGAATCAACAGCAGTCAATTGGCTCCTACCCTGCAGACATCAAAAGCTTTGCCCTCCACAATCGTAGCTACCTTCCTTTCTTCAGAGAGTGTAAAAAAGTCTGCCTTATTTTCAATACTGAAGCAAGTTTCCATCAACCAGGTCCATCTTACATACGTGGAATTAGAATTCACCATTTCAGTTTGAATCTATGTTGTGCTTTGTTGCTGATTTCCGAAAGCTGGAAAATTAGTTTCTGACTACATATGGATGCATTGAAAATATATTGTAAGCCACCCAGAGTTACGGAGCGTAAGTGAGCAGCCATATAAATTTTCATAACTAAATAAAGTCCATGAATTCAGGTCAAGAGTAATTTTTTTTTCTCTAGCCTAGACTCATAACAGAGTCTTCCGAACAAGATGAATTGATAGTTTGCAAGAATTTCAGCAACTAAACTTCTCCCCGCTGGCACTGATTTATACGTAAAGCAGAATTTTTCCTAATTTATTGTTCACAGCTCTTCTGTGATCAGGGAAAGAGAGAGTTGTTCTTGTCAATAATGGGTTATGGCAAGTGTTTATTTATGCAGCTGTCTTCTGAACAATTATCAGTCAACGCTTTCATATAAAAGATCATACTAGCCAATATAAAGCGATAATCATAGCACCAAAAGACAAATGAGATTATAGTAATGTGTACTGGTGATAATAATGAACACGAAGCATAAAGTCAGATTAACTATAAAAGCTTCCGAAATTGTTTTCCAATCGTTCTAAAGGTTTCCTAAAATGCCTGAGAAAATAAAAAAAGATCCTCCTTTAGTGCTGAAAGAAAAGCATTCAACCAATGTCACATAACTATTGAATAAACCCTTCCATTGATGGTCCTTCTCATTGGATGGGATCAGCGAGGAAAGGTTATAGAACCTCAGTGGCAAAATATGGAAGCAAGCAAACAGGTAAATTAGTCTACCAAGCATTTAGGGTTTTAAGATGGGAGCCAACATGGTCCTTCAGTTAAGGCAGCAGAATGTCTGAGCCTGTGGCCTTCTAAATATAATCCCATGACTATCACTAAGTGTTGTATTTTATGATTCACGATGAATGTATTATGATGATGATGATCATGATTTATTATCATTTATGCATCTTTATGTACACTGAGAGCTTATGCACCGAAGGCAAATTCCTTGTCTGTCCAATGACACTTGACCAATAAAGAATTCTATTCTGTTCTGTTTTTTAGATTGGAGTCAGATTGGAGAATATGGAAAATGTTGTCCGGACATTTTTTGACTTTCAAGACACCAAAGGAAGGCATGTTAAGCCAGAATCTCCCATGGAGATGGTGAACAAGATTCCTCAAAATAAGCCATCATCCAAGCAATTCAATTTGAAAAGTCACCTACCTAAAGGAAATAAAACCACACTGAGAACAGAAAGCGATTGTCCACATGGACAATACCATAAGGTTAATGATTTTGTGAAAAAGGTACATTAATGTGTTATCCATAGGTATTCATTTGTTCAATTCAGGATCACTTACACCTGCACAAGGATTGTCTTGGAAGGGTTCCCATGTTGGCGTAGCTCCTCTTTCTTTCTTTCTGCTTATATTTCAGTTCACCCAAAAAATGGGGAAAAAGAAGAAGCCCAAATGCAAAGTTAATCTCAAAATCTTTGGAAATGAGCTGTCGATTTTCGACTGTGGCGATTTCAGAAACCAAGCAAAACATTACTATTTGAACCTGGCAGAGCTAATGATAAAAGTGTTGAAGGTAAGAGAACTGTGATCAGTGCAATCATTTCCAAATGTTGATCTCTGGCCCATTTCAGCAATTTCAAGTAGGACAACCACCAAACTTCTTGAGAAGGTTCCTTCTACTCTGCTTCCCCACGTCCAGCATCCGTACCTGTCTGTGGTAGAAAAAATAGCTCAGAGTCGTGTTAAAAATTAGTATTTTATTGCTTCATGCCAACTCATGAGCCCCTCCCACAGGTCAGTTGACTTATCATCATTTTTACTAATTTCCCAACAGGGCCAAGAAGTCCAGTGGAATAAAAGATTGAGCCTGGCAACAGAAGAAGTGTTGTTTCCAACCATCGCAGGGTTTCCTGCCTTCCTGGGCTTTAATGCTTCGATATCCGTCAACCTGACTGCCAGAGGAGACACAAACTTCAAGAAACACAACCATTTTTTCATCAATGGCTACCTCAAGCCAAGGTAGTGAGAAGGGTTGGAAGAGAAATTATCTCAAAGACTTGAGATTCCATCAGCCATGTAAAAATATTTTTTTTAAAAAAAGACGTTAAAATACTGTATCAAACTCTTAACAATGCAATCTCTTCTTCTCTATATATTTTGGCAGTGTTATCCTACAGATTTCTGCCCAGATGGGAACTATAGGAGTTCTTGGGAACACTGGCTTGAAATGGTCAACCATCTTGAGATCCTCGGCCAACCTTGATGGAGGAATCCAGGTGAAAAAAGGGAAAGAATTTAAATTTTTTTGGAACACTCCCGAAGACACTATGGAACTTCTACATTTCAGGTAAAACAGACACAAAATACACAGAACTGGGGGGGTCAGTCAAATGTTTCTGGAACCTCAGCTCATCCCCAGCCAACGCAGGGAGTTTTGCAGTGATGGGAGTTGTGCTTAAAATAAAACATTCAGCTTTCCAGGAATCGACCCATGCATTGCATAAAATGAACTGCATCAACAGAAACTGAAATGATGATCAAGCGTGATGAGACACTAGAGTTAGAATTCTTTATTGGCCAAGTGTGATTGGACACACAAGGAATTTGTCTTGGTGCAAATGCTCTCCACGTACATGAATAGAATAGAATAGAATAGAATAGAATAGAATAGAATAGAATAGAATAGAATAGAATAGAATAGAATAGAATAGAATAGAATAGAATTCTTTATTGGCCAAGTGTGATTGGACACATAGGGAATTTGTCTTGGTGCAAATGCTCTCAGTGTACATAAAAGAAAAGATACATTTGTCAAGAGTCAAGAATCATAAGGTACAATGCTTAATAATAGTCATAGGGTACAATAAGCAATCAAATCATACTAGGAAACAGTCAATATAAATCATAAGGATACAAGCGACAAAGTTACAGTCATACAGTCACAAGTGGGAGGTGATGGATGATAAGAATGATGAGAAGATTAATAGTAATAGTAGTGCAGACTTTGTAAACAATTGTATTGAGGGGATTATGTGAGACACTTTGCTATTTTAGTAGGATAATTATGTGCCAAATAGCCACACAAAACAGTTTTTGTGATTCCTGTGTATCAAAACTGCTCAGTGAGCTGCCTTATAGGAATTCTGATTCTCTCCTTCTTTTATAGCTCTAAACTCTACATTACTGCAAGGGAGAAAATGAAAACCATTGACGGTTTTCCAGGCCAAACTGAACTGTGCACCAGTGAGGAAGGTAACAGATCCTTTTAAACCGCTCCCTATTTTAAAGTCATTTGAAACATAAAGCCGCAGGTAGAAACTCCACGTAATCTAGAAGAAATGGGCTCATCACAAAGCATTTTGCACGATGCATGTTCATCTTAGAACAAGATATGGCTGATAGACAGTAAGAATATTTCCCTGGATGGGTGACACCAAAGAATGACACCTTCACTTTTAAAAATGGTTTTCTCCTTTTTGGTTTTAACTGCAGTATCGAAAACATTTGGCTGGCAGCTGTGTTCAGAGGTTTTTCTCCCTGATGATAAGACTAGTAGCTTCCTTCTTCCGTTCCCTGGACCTGCGAAAGTCACCGTTATGCTAAGAAAACAGGACAGAAACCTACAGCAGTATTTAATAAAAGCAGCATATAATTATGTTGCTCAGGTCTGATTCTTAACTTCTTTTTTTATATATATTTGTCAGTATTCCAGCAACCCTCCATTCTGCCCAATAACTCTGAGACAGTTCCTTTTTATTTGGATAATAACTGGCACATCTGGGGAATCCTGAATCTGAAAGTTTCGGGCTTCCTTGCAATAAGTAAAAACTACAAATCCATCGCCTGCACCCATCATCACATCACATGGCCCAATAACCATCCATCCCAGCTTGAGACTTTCTCTCACTTATGCACAAAATAACATGACCTTGAATCAGAAAAAGAATGTTATTATGTCTAACTACATATACTCTGAGAAATCCCCCCCTCCCACTTTCTCAGGCTCAAATGTGGCAGCGTACACAATAAAATAAATTTTATTTATTCGTTTTTCTTTAGCATACATTAGTGCTTGGTAAACAGTATATTGTCTGGGTCAATTTACTTTATACATAGTAATAGTAATATTGTTTATTTATACATATTAATAATCTTTCAACTTCTAACTTCTACCTCTATTATCTAACCATTGATAGAACAAATCCCATGTTAAAACATATTCTGTATCTTCTTTGTCTTTTATCTTTAGGCTTAACCTATCCATTTCTGCACTTTCTAATATTCTTTTAATTATATTTTCATCTGTAGGAATTTCCTCATTCTTCCAGTGTTGTGAAAATACAATTCTTGCTGCTGTCAAGATATTAATATTAAATATATATTCCCTTTCTCATATTTTTTCTGGTAGTATACCTAACAAAAATATTTCTGGCTTTAAATCTATATGTTGCTTTCATCTTTTCTCTGTGTATTTTTGTCCAATTTTTTTTTGCCTTTGGACATGTCCACCACATAGGATAATAGGATGGTCCAGTTCTTAACTTCTGTCTGGTATAGAGACAGACAGACAGACAGAAATGACACCTATAGTGCTAAGATTCATTTTTGTGGTCCTTGACTTGCAACCATAATTGGAATCAAAATTTCAGTTGCTAAGCCAGGCGGTTGTTAAGGGTATCACCACCGGATTTTGCAACTTTTCGACGTGATCGTTAAGCAAATCACTTCAGTTATTAAGTGAATCATGCGGTCATTAAGTAAATCTGGCTGCCCCCATTGACTTTGCTTGTTAGAAGGCAGTTGGCAAGGTTGCAAATGAGGATCAGATGACCTCAGGATGCTGCAACCATTTTAAACATATGTCAAATTTTGATCATGTGGACCATGAGGATTGTACAACAGTCGTAAATGCGAAAGCTGGTTTTTAGTCACTTATGTAGTGCCATTGTAATGTCAAATGTTTGCTAAGCAAATGGTTGTAAGTCAAGGACCACTTCTATATTTTGTAATGTGTAGCCGGTTTTGAAATTCACATTTTGAGATTTTATTTGGTCTTACGATGTATCTTTCTTCTTCTCCAGAAAGGTTCTTGGATTCCAAATGAAGCCAGGCTCCATTTCTTTATGGGGAGTCCGGAATCAGAGCTGAAGAGAAATGTGGCTTTTGACTTCCACTGGAACATCCCTCAGAGAAAAATCAGAATTGAATACACTGAGCCAAAGGCCAAAATGTTACTGAATGGTGAGAACTGAGGACCAGTTGGAACTTCTTGGTGTCCATCCGTTGGGAGATCTAAGTCATCATCATACAGGAAGCATATAACAGTAGAGCTTCCAAAATTTCTTCTTGAACACCATGTAGCATATTTATTTAGTTGTCTTCTTCTCCTTCTCCTTCTTCCTCCTCCTCCTCCTCCTCCTCCTCCTCCTTCTCCTCTTTCACCTTCTCTTTCTCTTTCCCACCACCACCATCATCATCATCTTGTCATCATCATCATGTCATCATCATCTCCTTCAAAATTTGAAAACATGAGCTTTAAAAACTCTTGAATTAGATGATCAAAGCTGCCCAGAATTCCATGGCAAAGAAGTAGTTTGAAACCCTCAAGTCTCCAAGAACTGGAAACCAAAAAGAGAGAGAAGTCAGCTGAAGATCTCTGGAAGAAGTTTTGAGAGATTGACAAAAGAATGGGCAATTCACAATTATTTATTTTTAAAAATAACAAATTTCAATCCCTATATTAGGCTACTGGAGGAAAGCTAAGAAGGAGTTAGGAAAAGGATCTTTTGTGAAAAGATCTTGTGAACGGAAGCTTTGGCTGGCTGAGGAATTCTGGGAGTTGAAGTCTACCCGTCTTAAAGTTGCCTTCCATTTGCAATTAGGCTGTCTATCCATGGGAAAACAGAAGCGGGAATTAATTTATTCTTTTTTTTTCTGCCTTTACCAGGCCAAATTGAAATCTCAAAATACTCTCGTGTTGGGCATTTGGAACTGATAGTCAATGATAACACCATTTATTACATCAAGGTAGGTATCTCACCTGTTTGGAACCAAAGACCCAGTCAATGTATCTTCTACTGAGGAAGTGCCTCTTTTTTTTTTTTAAACAAATTTTATTAATTTTCAAAGACAATACACAAACAAACAAAACATAAAACGCAAGAACATAAAACATCTTTTCTAAAAACTGCTTATTAAGTTTTAACAAAACAAATAAAACATCTTGTTTAAGTACAGCATAGTTCCAAATTATCACATTTCCATTACAAACACAATTTAATATGCATCTTACGTATTCAACTTCATATCTTATTACTCTTTTTCCAACTTCTCACTATTTTTCCCTTTACTTCTATTCGATTTTATTCATTGAACTTATACTTTCACCTGTCTTATTTACAATTTCATATGTTCTCATCCAACATTCTTAATTCTCAATAAACAAACATAAACAAACGAAGCGCCTCTTGTGGGTCTCTGACCAGATGCTTTAATCCACCAAAACCAACGAGATACGTCTGATTTCTGTAGGGCAGGACCGATTTGCAATCCGTGGCTGGAGAACCGAGCTTTGCAATCCGTCTGGAAGCCAAATTGCTAAGACACGGAAGTCCTGTTGTTCTTGCAGGAAATCTCACGAGACTGGCAGGGCAGAAGGTGGCGTTTTCAGTATCCTTGATTAACCTGTTGAAGGATGCTGCATCCTTTGCAGGTAAGGACACTGCAGCCTCAGAGAGACCACCTGGGTAAAACTGGAGACAGACCATCGTAAGTTGTGAACGACCTGTATTCCTGTTCATAAGTCGGGCATTTCTGATTTTGATAGCCTTTGTGTTTGTTCCTTAGTGTGTTTTGAGAAAAAGGCAAATAATGAGCTAAGGCACTATTCCCTGGAAGGAGAAACCCACATTCCCGGCGTTTTTGGATCTCGCATCATTTTCCTCCTGCAAAAACGAGGACACGTCTGGTCCGACATCCTGAGAATTAAATATGGATTGTTTGGTACTGTACTAGTGTTTTAAAACTATGTGGTCAGGCTTAGTTTTGGGGGAGAAAAATAAAGGGGGAAAATTCTGCCTCTGCCTACCAGCATCCATCGGTATTCCTGTCAGTGTGTGAGAGAGTTGAGGGCTGTATGGAAACTGAAACAGTATTTGCTGTATGAACAAGAAGGAGACAGCAAGGAGCCTGGGTGTGGCTTAGCTCAACTGTCCTGTACTAAAGCTGCTTGCTGCTGTGAAACTGAAACTTTTCCACTTGTGTTTTGCATTTGGAACAGATTTCTTTTCAGGTGGGGAGGGGGAGTAGAACTCCTTAGCATCAGCGCATGTTAATAATAATAATATAGGAAATACTAATGCTCTGATAGTCATTTTGAAAAATCCTTTCTTAGTGAGCCCCTAGAAGCCAAGAGGAACATAGGTGCCAAATGTCAAGTTTGTAGGCTTTATGGTTCTGGAGATTTTGTGATGATGCATGAGTTGTATTTCGCTTTTATATATGTATAGATAAATTCCCTTCTCATCTCTATGGGTGGTATTTTTTTAAAAAAAACAGCCATTCTGGAGAATGGATTCACTTAATGACCATGTAGTTCACTTAATGATCCTGTCATTGGATTCACAACTGTAGCGATTCACTAACAACAGCATTAAATGGTTTTAAAATCGAGTCAAGCCAGGTGGCTGGCCCAGTTAATGCATTTTCTTAAGAAAAATGGGAAAATCGATATAGATGCTTAAAAGGATTTATGGAAAATTTGATCAGGCTACTCGTTTCCAAATCTGAGTAGAATATTAGTCAGTAGCATGAAATCTGGAGATCTATGGGATCAGGTTCCATGATCATTAGTGATGTTGGGAATTGATCTAAATCTTGGGGAAACACCTGATCAGGAAAGACAGAGAAGGCTGTCAAAAAACATTCCAATTTGTAATGAAAACATTTCTCCACCCCTGCATGCGTGCTTCATCGGAGAAGGAGATGCCAAGAAGCTCCAGCATGAATGCAACATGACTCAGAAGTTAAAGCTGGAGAACAGCTGGCCAGATGTTTACAGACTGGATTTGGAGCACAAATTTCACTGTACTCGGAGTCTAACTTACAATCACAAGGTAAAGAGATGCATTGGTTCCAAAAAGGTGCAAACCCCAGTAAGCAATAGCACTCTTAGACTTATATACTGCTTTACAGTGCTTTTACAGACCTCTCTAAGCACTTTACAGAGTCAGCCCCCAACAATCTGGGCCCTCATTTTACCCACCTCGGAAGGACGGAAGGCTGAGTCAACCTTGAACCTGGTGAGATTCGAACTGCCAAATTGCAGCCAGCCAGCAGCCAGCAGAAGCAGCCTGCAGTACTGCACTCTCACCACTGCGCCACCATGGTTCATGTAGTTATTCTCTACAATGGGTGACTAGGACCTGGCACAAATTCCACAATCCAGGACTGTCTCCCAAATGTTTCTTCTTGGAAGAGCAGTTGCTAGGAAGGAAGAGGCTAAACGCTCGAAACCTGTAACCTTTCTCCAGGTCCATTTGCAGCATGAAGACACTGCAACTCAGCTGCACTCCCGCTTGGAGGCTAACTACGGGAAACACTGGGATGAAGCCAACAATATGAGGAAGCTGATCATCAGCCAGATGTTCAAAAATCATTCGCAGGCCACTCTGAGGAGCTACTTCATGGAGGTAGGCTTAGCACAGGGGTTGGTAACCTTAAACACAAAGAGCCACAAAGGTCCTAACCAGAAGTCCCTTGTTCAATTCTGGAGCCAATCGGAAATTCAGTTCCCCCCACCATAGAGCCTCCTCCTAGTGTGGCGTCCTTTTTCCTCTGCCAACCGGAAGTCCATTTCCGCTACCATTAGAGCAGGGGGTGGAATGTGACAGGGTTAACTACCAGTTCGGGATTTACGAGCTTCCCTGCACGCTGTGAGCCACACGCCTGTAAATCCTCATCAGCAGGCTGTGTGCAGAGATGCAGCCTTTGAAACAGACCTGTTTTCCTGCTTTTTTAACTGCAGCTGTGCCTCGTTCAGCAGCTGAAGTTGAAAAAAAATCAGGAAATAAAGATCAGATAAGACCCGGGGTGGGCAGGTGGACAAAAACATCAGCAGACATAGAACCGGTTCTATGTCTGCTGCTCTTCAGAGCTACCGGTTCTACAGAGTTGGACAAAACTGGTAGAAACTCACCCCTGCATTAGAGTCTCCACCTAGCATGGCCTCCTTTTTCCTCTACCTGTCCTAACCAAAAGCCCTATCAATTGGGGAGCCGACCAGTGACAGGGAGCCACAGCAGAGGGATGAAAGAGCCACCTGCGGCTCCGGAGCCACAGGTGGCTGACCCTTGACTTAGAAGGACTAAATGTGTCACATTTTTGAATGGGTTTGTCTGGTGTTGGAAGGCGAGTAGGCGAGTTAGACAGTCTCCAATCTCCATTTGACTGTCAGCCCCCAACCTACTTTGCAAAGTCATGGCAATGATAAAGTGAGAAGAGACCCCCATAGCGAAGGCTTTGGCTGTATCAATCCAGCCTCCTTCACAAAAGTCCTATCAAGCACCATTTGTTTTGAGCTTCCTGCCATGATGATTGCAGCATCCTGGGTCATGTGTTCCAGAGGTGGTATTCAGCAGGTTCTAATCAGTTCTGGAGAACCGGTAGCGGAAATATTGAGTAGTTCGGAGAACCGGCAAATACTGCTTCTGACTGGCCCCACCAACCCCATCTATTCTCTGCCTCCCATTGAGTCCCAGCTGATCGGTTGGGTCTTCTTTGGTTGCCCTGCACAGAAGAACGGAGCTGGAAAGCAGGTTAGGGGGGTTGGGAGCAAATGCAACAACCTGTCCCCAGAAGTGGGGAGGGAATAGGGATTCTGCAGTATTATTCCCCTGTGACGCCCACCAAGCCACGCCCATTAAACCAGTAGTAAAAAAAATTTTAATCCCACCACTGATGTGTTTGCCATTTGAGACCTTCCCAACTGGCCTCCAGGAAGCAAATTCCCTTCAAAGCAGGTCTTCAAGTTGTCTTTTTTTAAAATCCTCCAAATCATCCCTACTGCAGTTGTCAAGCAGATAGTATTGTTTTGTTATTTGTTGATTAAGAATTGCTGGCATTAATGCCATACATTTATTGCAACACTTGCTGCTACCCCAATTGCTTAGTGGTACAGATACTGATACTCTTGTTCGTGCTCAAAGTCCATGGGGAAAGCTGAATTCACTTAACAACCATGTTGTCAGGATTCTGGCAGTTAGTTACCCCTATTTAAATCATGAATCTCGAGCCAAACTTCCAGAACTTCAGAAGGATTTATTGGGAATTAAACCGTCTGGCACTGCCTGGGTGTAGCCGACTCTGAGACACATAATTCACTGTCACCCTTGATCTGGTTTCCCCCCACCCCCTGGGTGTATCATAATTTGTATTCTCCAATGAGACACATCCATAGCCAAGAGTCATCAACCATACTCTCCAGTTAGAATTTTGCACGGCAGAAACTTCAGTCACCTAGTTACTATCTTTGAAAACATTGATGGAAATGCAGTTTCGGTTTTGCAAGCCGCTGCACTGCTCCCTCCTCCCTTTCTGTTGGCAACTCTAAAAAGACCATAGAACTATTTTATGAGTTGACACATATGATTCATTTAACAGCTGAAGGGCTTTGCTACATAACTGTGGCAAAGATGGTTGTAAACTCAGGCATGACTCACCTTGGTTAGAGATGGAAACTCTGGCTCTGATTTTGGTCATAAATCAAGGGCTACCTGTAGCCACTGATCCTTTGCATCCAAAGACTTCCTTTTCCTATAACTTGGGCACAACTGATTTTTCCTTCTAGTTCATGATCCAAGTGCCTGAAAAGAATCTGGATTACAGGACTCGGCTGCAGCATTCCAGATCTTTCCACCCTTCTCTAGAAAGCAACACCAGTTTCAAGGTGCATTATAACAACCGCATCCTTTTTATAGCTGACCTGCAGTGGAAAAATGTTTCTGGCCGTTTGCTGAAGAAATGGGAAGGTAAGATTCCAATCGCACGCATGGCCTGAAAGTCTCGTCCTGGTGGTGGTGATGTTTTACTGGAAAAAAATAATAAAGGATCAACCTCAGAGGTTGGTCAAGAAAAAAAAACATCATAATTGTTTATATTTATGTAATTTTGCTTTACCAACATATATGTGAGAATTAAACCAAGAAAAAACTTTACAAAAACACGTATTTCAGATGGGCGGCTATAGAAATTGAATAAAATGGATGGATGGATGGATGGATGGATGGATGGATGGATGGATGGAAAGAGAGAGAGAATGATAGATGAGAGAGAGAGAGAGAGAGAGAGAGAGAGAGAGAAACAAAAAAATCTAAACGAGTTAAAGCACATTTATTTTCAAAAGACCCTTCAAACTCCTTATTTTCACAAGAATGTGAAAGATTGTGCATTGTGGTTCCCTTTGCATGGGAAAAATTTAAATGATGCGTATAAAGAACCAATTGGAGTTATTAGAAAATAAGTATACCTAAAGGGCAGCTTTCAGAAACAAAGTGTTCTCTTCTTTACAGGTACATTCAACATGGACACACCTTGGCTGTATCTGTATGTCACTCACAAATTCCACCAGTTCCAGCAGTCGGCTTTCTTCACCACTGTTGAATTGACCGTCGGTAAAGCTTTTGTTGTCAAGGGCTTAATCCTGGAGCTCTATTGTAAAGACCACGACATTGAGAAGGAAGGCAGAATTGAGCTCCGCACATCGACAACTACCTATCTGAGAGTTAGTTTCTTCCTCTTGGCTGCCTTGGTTGATTCCCTCTCTTCCCGTTGCAATTGTAGGCTGGAGCGTTGCCAAGTAGCCACTGTGACAATATTCTGAATATACACATATTGGGTGAAATGCTTTAATTGCAGAGCAATTAGTGAGCCGTTTCCAAAAACGCTTAGAAAGGAAGCATTTGAACTTAGTGCCAATTCAAAGATGCCAGTCACAGTTTGAGCAAGGTGGTTATTCCTTCCTCTCCCAGAACTGTAAATCTACTGAAGACTGCTATATTGTAGTTTCCTTGCAAGGAACAGCTGTCTGGAGCATTTGGGGATGACCTCAAGTCATCTCCTAGTCCAGAGAAGAATTTGGAAGAGCCTGTCTACTCGATGTTTCTTCATTCTGCGGCAGTTGCCATTTCTCCTCCTAGAAGCCAGGTTCATATGGACTTCCTTTAGTTAGTTTTAGTACCAAGAAGGAAGCATAGAGTAACAAACCTTGAGAACGGAGTTAGGAAACTTCTAGCCCATTTGTAGCAAACAGTTCATGAAGATGGGATCTCCTTGAAGGGATTGAATCTAGTCTCTCAAAGGGCTAGCTGTCAGGATTCCGACGGATGCCCTAATTAAACCATGAGCCTAGTGCCAAGTTTAAAAAGAAATCCAGTTATTTATTAGGAACAACATGTTCGGTACATACCCAAATGAAGTCAGCTCTGCCTCACGTAATTTACGGCCCACCTATGACCCTGTTTCTGCCCTCCCCCCAAGGTGTGTCATAAATCACATTCTCCAACGGAGCACTTTCATGGGCTGTAGGGATCACGCCTCTTCGGTTGGTCCTGGTAGCCTGGGATACCAGCCCGGAAGAAGGTATGCATGGCATGTGCTTCTGGTTGTGGCTACCATGTTGCTCCATCAGTTTTCCCCCACCTATGGCAACTCTGGAGTAGGCCAGGAATGTTTTACCAGTTGACACTAGCATCATGGGCAATGAACCCATTCCTCCAAAAAGCCAGGAATAACCTCTGCAATCTACTAAAGACAACTCCCTCTCTTTTCTCTTCTGTCAGTCTCAAGATAGTTTCACACATTCAAGTTGTGGACTACTTCAGATTAAATGGACTTGTCTGTTATTTCTGGATGGCGACCAGGCAGAAATTTAGCTTGTTGTATTCAGAGTCCAGTAAATGAGGATCCATTAAACAAAGGTTACACTCTGTTACAGAACTTAGAAAATAAGCAAATTGTTACTAGTTAACAAGCTCAACCACATGAAGTTATTAAGTTATGAACAGGCGTCACAATTAAATAATAAGGAGACAATGTGTTACAAAGAAAAGGCATCGCTTCTAGAATTCTCTTTATTTCCAAAAATGACAGAATTGAGAATATCTTCTTTTGACTTATTAGGCATCCACAATCAATCGTTTTACGGAAGGTTTCCTGCACAGCCAGAATGAAATAATGTCATCGTGGAGCCAACTAATAAAGCACGAAGTCCTCCTGGAAAACAATCAACACACCAAATTTCTTCATTTTAGACTGACATCTGCAAAGAAGGAATTTAATCTGACGGCATCTTATTGCCACTTGGAAGCGGTAAAATGATATCTCCTTTTTTGGCAAAGAACAGGAGAAATGGGATCTATGAACAGGCACGTGCTGGCTGGGGAATTCTGGGAGTTGAACCAGGGGTGGGATTCAAAAATCCCAGCAACCGGTTTGCTGCCCAGTTGTTGGGTGACTGTGGCCATGGTGGGCATAGCCTACCAGAACTTCCGGGAAGGCTGTTTTTCACCTTCCCAAGGGTTCAGGCCTCTCGGAGGGCGAAAATGGTGGAAGCCAGAAGCAGGCCCATTTCCGGTACTTCTGGGACGGCCATTTTTTCCCCCTCCAAGAGTCTCCACGTTGACCCTGCCCTTACCTGCATAGAAAATGGGCTGTGTGGAGACTCCTGGGAGTGGAAGGGAGGCGAAGAGTGGGCAGGGCCAGCCGGTCGGTTCAAATACCAGTTCGGCAAACCAGATGCAAATTTAACAACCGGTTCACATGAACCGGTCTGAACCGGTAGAATTCCACCCCTGAATTGAAGTCTCCAAGTTGCCAAGTTTGGAGAGCCCTGCTCTAGCCTTTCAGCTTTGTGTTCGTGAATTAGCATCGTTTGCTTTTCATTGTATAATGATTTTTTTTCCCCCTTAGATAGCTTATTGAGGGCTTCTTGTTTTCAGCCTAGAAAATCAAACATTTCTACGTCTGTTGTGTGGATAGACCACAAGAACCCACCTCTTGTCCTACAGTTCGAGGCACAGCTAGAAGAAGTGAAGAAAGAAAAAATGTTTTATCAGAAACGTGGAACTCTTCTCTTGAGGTATCTTGGTTCCCTTCTCGTATCCATTAGAATTTATAGCACGGATGGGCTACCTGGGTGAGCCGGTTAGGTGGAGAGGTTAAAGCATCAGAAGGTGGGTTCTGATTCCATAGTTAGGCACAAAGCCAGCTAGGTGATCTTGAGCCAGTCACTTTCTCTCAGCTCTAGGAAGGAAGCAATGGCCTACCATTTCTGGAAAAAAAAAAAACTTGCCAAGAAGTCGGCAGGGACTTGAATTATTGCTTAATTCAGACCAAAAGGTCCTGATTTAATTGAAAATTTCCATAGTGCACCTGGTGTTGGTTGCCACAATGTAAAAAAGATGTTGAGACTCTAGAAAGAATGCAGAGAAGAGCAACAAAGATTATTAGGGAACTGGAGGCTAAAACATATTGCTGAAACTGGGTAGGTCTAGTTTGATGAAAAGAAGGACTAGGGATGACAGGATAGCAGTGTTCCGATATCTCAGGGGCTGCCCCAAAGAAGAGGGAGTCAAGCTATTCTCCAAAGCATCTGAAGGCAGGACAAGAAGCAATGGGTGGAAACTAACCAAGGGGAGAAGCAATCTAGAACCAAGGAGAAATTTCCTGACAGAACAATTAATCGATAAATGTAAACGTGCCACAACTTACTGCAAAAATTGTATATATGGTTTGTTGCTAAAGGTGAAAAAACTGAATGAAAAGTATTTTTTTTAAAAAAAGAACAATTAATCACTGGAACAACTTGCCTCCACAAGTTGTAAATGCTCCAACACTGGAAGTTTTTTAGAAGAGATTGGATAGCCATTTGTCTGAAATGGTATAGGGTTTCCTGCCTAGGCAGGGGGTTGGACTAGAAGACCTCCAAGGTCCCTTCCAATTCTGTTATCCTATCCTATCCTATCCTATCCTATCCTATCCTATCCTACTCTACTCTACTCTACTCTACTCTACCCTACCCTACCCTACCCGATCCTATCCTATCCTATCCTATCCTATCCTATCCTATCCTATCCTAT